AACCACCAATGTAAATATAACGGTAAGTGATATCTGCGACTTCGTCAATGTAAAATTTCATTTCCGTTAAAGATTTGAGGAAAGCTTGCCTGATGCAAATTCAAAACATCACGATCCGGTACTGCGTGAGCAGGAAATATAAAGGCTTGAAATCATTATTAATATTGTTCATATTTTACTTACAACAGTTCTATTCTCTAAGAACAAACTCACTTTTCCCTCGGAATCTGCGGAGTCATTTAATACTGCTCTGTAATTGCTAACCTACCCTAAAATATTATATTTATTCGTTTTAATAACGCTATCTAATAAAGCACCAACTTAATAAAATAATTATTAATATTGTTCATATTTTAGTTACAACAGCTCTATTCTCTAAGAACAAACTCACTTTTCATCTGGGAATCTGCGGTGTCACTTAATACTGCTCCGTACTGATTGCTAACTCTCCGTAAAATTTTCTATTTGTTCATCTTAACGCTATCTAACAAAGCACTAAGTCAATCGAAAAATTCTTTGCATTTTTAAATGTAGTAGTTAATACTTCAAATTTAATAATATAATAAGAAATAAAATCATACTTACTTCAATTATACTTACGCCAGTTTTCGTGAGGGGTCCGGGAACTACGTTTTCGATGTCATTGTAATTCGATTCAACGATGCTAACAACGAAGCTGTTCCAAAATGTGTTACATCAATACACTCGGTGAAAACAATTGTCTGCCTATTATGGTTAGACGGACTGGCGCACAAACATCAGAGGTTTAGTTTATATATTTATAGAGTTCCAGAGACACCATTTGGGTACGGAACTCTAATAAGAGAAAATAAGCAGTTGCACGTGTTCTATGTTTATAGTTCAGACAATGGTTCTGGTCGCAATATAAAAGGTCGCACTCATTTAACTATTCATCAGTGTAAACTCTAAACAATCTTCCCGGAATAGCACGCGTCGAATAAAATAAAAGAAAGATGTGCATACACGTCGGTCGGGAATTCAATTTATTTCTTATTCAGGGCCTTGGTAAATATAAATACGCATCTGATCTTGGTAAGAGATGTAGTATATAGTGCTGGACCGCCCATCTAGAATAGTACAATGACGCTGCCTTGCAGCTTTAGAATGGCTAGAAGAATTTCCGTGGTAGCATAATTGGTCAGTGCATTCGCCCGGATTGCGAAGGGTGCGGGTTCGCGTAGATTTTTTTCTAGTTATATTTTCTTTAGATTTAAACAATAAGCAGTTACATGCTTAAAAATAAAAATTATAAGTACAATGACCTTACGGTACACCCCGGTGAAATAACACTAACTTTTGAGCTTTAGGCACTTGCCCCGCGGCTGACGGTGAAAGAGAAACGAGAAGAGCTAGAAACTAGAAACGAGTTTGTAATTCCATTGGTTTTAACGTTAGGCTATAAGCGAGTGTTCGAGAACAATGCGGGTGATTACTCGCGCCACTCGTTTGCGGTGACAGTTCCAAGCAAAATGCACGCACTCTCGTTATGACGGCCGAGCGTTGCTGAGCGAGTATCGCTGAGTGAGTATTAACTTTGATAGCTGTTTTCGCTCAGCGACAAACTAGTGGAGCGTGTTATCGCCGGCAGTGTGTACAGTCAGCGATCAACTATTAATATATGCATCACTTTTGTTAACATGGAATATAAAATCGTATGTATCGAGAAAATAGGCGGATAGTTAGACAACTGCCTTTGTGGCGTTGTGTTTTGTTGGTGAATAAGGTTTCAAGTCTCCACGGGTTAGGGATTAGGCTCAGAACAACATAATAAGGCAAGCCAAAGCATCAATGTTTCTTCCGTATATCAGCTATTTTCTCAAATGGACTGGAAAAGGAAATATGTATGGAAAAGAAGATATTTTATCTTTAGCTGTGTCGATTTATGGGTAGGAATGTTCATTCAGTACGTTGTTCATAGATGGGTGACCAAAAGTTTCATTTCGAGCTCTTTTGCTATCAGTTAAATTAACAGTCATATACATATATATCTTGTCAAACAGCCAAGTTTAAACATTATAACAGAGCTATAAGTACTTATATTTGTTACACTGAAATAAATCTAATACTTTCAAAAGTCTTACTTATTGCTGCATTAACTAATAATTAATCTTGAAAAAGTGACCAAGTAATATTATGAAACCACTGAAAGATAAAAAATGAAACCCGAGATTACTATATAAATACTTACATACGAGTAAGCGGCTCTTAATTAAGTAATGCATGTTACCAAAAGCATACGCCACACGCCAGCATTTTGGTCTCTAATCTGCTGTGACGTAGGCTTTTACGGTGTTCAGAACGGATATTAATGTACTAAATGCGTGTCAAATATTACTTAATGCAAACTCAAGGGCTGCTCAAATATTCAACTTGAATATAGTACAGGCAGTCGAAAAGCGGCTGTGTTTAAAGGACACGCATGCCTTATGTGGTTTCCGGAATGGATTTATCGTTTAATTCACCGAGGTAATGGTAGATGATTTGTCTTTGGATAATCACTGTATCATATGTAGGTACAAAATGTTCGTAACATTTTTTATTTATCCTTCATCATCATCATCATCATCATCATCATCAGCCTATTAATGTCCCCACTGCTGGGGCACAGACCTTCCCTATGGATGGAATAGGGAGAATGGGCCATGACCCAACACGCGGGCCCAGTGCGGATTGGCGGGTGCTAACGACTGCAGATGCAGCCGGGACCAACGGCTTAACGTGCCTTCCGAAGCACGGAGGAACTCGGGATAGAAGATTTTTGGTCACCCATCCAATGACCGACCACTGCGAAAGTTGCTTAAATTCAACGATCGCAACCTAACGCGCTAACCACTTGCGCCATCGAGCTCCTCGATTATTTATCCTTGCCTGAGAATAAAAGAAAAAAAAGTCATTTTTTGTAGAAAAAAATGGTTATGAAATAGAAATAAAACTTCAAAACTAGCTTAGGGTATAAAACCTGAAATGTATGGGAGAGTTTTATTCTATTTTGCTTATTTAAGTAAATCACTCGTAATCTTTCATATTATGCTTTAAAATAATTGGGTCTTTTAAAAAAAAAATAATTTTCCCTTTCCTTATTTAGCCCATTTTCGTGCTTAAGAAATCCTTTGAGGCAGTATATCAAATCGTAAATAATGTGGCGTGAGGCAGTCGATGTAATGTTTCACCAGCATTCGGACTTATTTCTTGTAAATTTTAACGTGCCCCCGTTACAATTTACGACATAAACATTTGAGAGCACTAGAAGCAATCTTATGAACATTTATAACGCTATTGTATGGAACTCATTGAGGCTTTTGTTCAACTGACAGTGAAATATCATAAGGCTGAGTCGGCTATGGTTACCTTTAGTTTTTCAATTTAGCCTTTATTACAACTGGCATAAGGTGGGAATTCATTTTTCCTTATTCCTAACCATAATCAGTTCCATCATGACTTAAGTTAGCGATAGCAATATTTTTTCCAGCGGAGGGGAAAAATCCAACGAAATGATGAAAGAGAGTTAGGATGCTCTTTCTCGTTTTGAAATTGAAATATAGGTCTTTATATTCATAATTTTAAATCTTACCTCCATCTTTATAACTTCTGTACTCCCCAAATAACAAAGCCTCAATATATCGATAGTTACTTACGGATTGGCCGAGCATTATAGTTCTGTCATTAAAAACCAGTTAAAAATACATTAGGAGGTACATACCACTGAATTGTTTAAAAGTTTTTGTTGTGTATGGCACTCTGGTACTATTCTGGTACTGTAATACTTAAACGCATTCAGTGACACTGAGTATAATGAAAAACTGAGGAAAGACTTATTACAACTGCATAATGCATTATCTTATCTAGCCGTGGAACACTGTTGGGACGGAGTAAAAATAAACATAATAATAGTCCGAGATCTGAAGAGGAATCGTTTTCACCCATCTGCTTACTAGACGAAAAGTATGTTTAACATAATAGTTTAATGTGCAAATGGGCCCTTGTTACCTAAATGTATGCGCTTTTTTTGATTGTGTATGTTGTTGGACGCAGATGACCTTTACAGCGTCACCGGGTTTGGGGACGGCGAGATCCTACGGGGAACTCAAGCCGAGAATTGGCGAGTGCTTCTAGAGGTATTCCAGGTGGATGGCATCTCCCCACGGGGGGAGTCTCCTCTCCGTCTGGAGCCTCTAGACCACTCGAACCTGGGGGAGTCGGCTCAACTTGAGGGCTTTTCTGAGACTCGGACCTCGGCTCTAGTTAGCCGTTGTCGTGGGGTGTGGGGATAAACGCCCAGGTACGTACCTGTACCTGGTATAGCGTGTCGTGTGTAGACTGGGTCTTGGCAATCTTATCCTACGGGTGCGGTTTCTGCCTAATGCTAAGTTAGTGTGCAATGTTGTGAGCTTTGTAGTGTTAGTGTTTGTGGCCTGTGTGGGAGGAGTCGGAGGCGCGTTGGCGCGGGTGATTTCGTCGTCGGGGTACTTTAAGACGTACCTAGGCCGACGGAATTGGAGGGACCTACGATTGGAGGACGGGAGGGCGGACGTCTGATAACTAATGGCTTTAACTACGATGGGGTTCGGATGATGCGCGGCTTTATCTCGAAGTAACGTCCTTCATATACTTCGCGATGGAGTCTTACTTGAGATCGCGATGCAAATCAATGTTGCGCACGTACCACGGGTAACCCGTGGCACCGCGCTACACTACACTTTAGAGGGCGGCCTTTGCCCTCTGCGGGGCTTTAGGACAGCCACGGTAGTTCGCGGCGTGCTGGCTGACGCGACGCAGAGAACACAGTTCGGCGGATTTTCTGGTACCGGGACCCTCGGCCGTGGACAATCCTTCGTCCCGTGGTAGGGGTAAAGATCAAGAATGACCAAAAAGAGGACATACGGCTGCCTGTCCTTAGTGAACAGGCAGTTTGCAGAGTGCACGGGAAGGCCTTGCGACTTATGGGCCCCGAGAATTAAATTTGCGTCAAGCTCCTTCAGCAAGCTGCGGATGACAACGCGGAGTACTCTTTCCTTGGGAAGAGGGTAAGTGTGAAAACCATTCCCGGATTGGCGGAGAAAAGCGGTGTGCTTACGGTGCTCCGCGAAGTCGGGGACATGCACCTTAAAACCGGTCGCAGTGGTGCGCGCGTGGGTGTAGTTTATGTGTCTGTCGGTCAGTAGTTGACAAAGAATTCCAGGACTTAATGTGAGGGCGTTAGCCCTCTCTGCCGTGAGTGACAAGGAGGCGTGTGTCTCCTATCCCTAAATCCCGCACCAAAGTGATTACCTCATGCCACGGGCACGGCCGAAGAAAAACGGCCACGAGACGAGGACACGATGCAGAGCACGACTGTACAGCGCGGCGGCTAGCGAGCGAATGGAAACACTTACACGGTGCGGGTCTGTGTATGCTCTTCTGTTTCCTAATGCCTATTAAAATTACCCATTCCTGTACTTGCGACAAGGTAAAGGGGACTAAACCAATTTATCTTTCCTTGATTTATTAAGGGACCCTTTAATTAAATGGAGTCCAAAATATTGGCAAAGCCGCTCTAAGCAAATTATGTCGGCCCAAGGTGATGTACGCACACCAAATTTTAATATGGCGTCAGTGTTTTATCTGATTAGTCAGTTAGTGTATAGTATAATTTTCTAGCAAACTTTTTGATTGTACAAAGAGTTATTTTAACTTAGATAGTATAATCATAGTTATATCAAATCAAGAAATAAAAAAAAGTACACATTACTATGTTTGTGACATGCACATGCATATCACAAAAAATAGTAATAAGTGCGTAATTTGAAGAAAACAAATGAGAACGATTTTATCAAAAGAAGATCAGATCTGAAGATATTTACTACAATTATTCAAGCAACGCAAAACTATTTTAAGATTGAAGATTTACAGATTTAGTACTTTAGAAAAAAAACAGAAGTTGCCATATCGTAATATTGCTTCTTTACAATAATCAGGAAGTTATTCTACACATATGTTTGGTTTTTCGCAATTCGTCGACCATTTTATGAACATAAGCTACTTTTTGTATTTCAGCTACCACGTAAGATTGACGTTTATTGTGAATTGATTTAACTCATTTATTACAAAAGTCATCGAAATGATATTTTTTAATCTGTTATTTAATGACTATTGTCTGATTATTTATATCGAAAAATAACCAGAAAACTCATTTATATTTTGAAAAGTTTGCTTTTGTACTTTATACAATGATGAATAAAAATGTATTATTTTGTAAAAAGCTGAGGGACTATTGCTTTTAGTAAGCAAAAAAAAAGGAGTGCAGAAATCTTTCTATCTATCGGGCATTGAACAGTAGAACAGTAACTTCGTGTGTACACCCATTTTAAAGAAACGACGTTCTTTGTGAGTCTTGAGCGGTAAAAACGAGTAAAAAGTGAACTCTGTTTGCTTTATTTGCGGAGATTTTTCTGAAATTGAGTTAACTCCAGTAGTAAAAGAATAATTTAAGGATATGCAGCTTATTTTTTACTTACCATTCGGAGTCAAGATGAAATGGAGGTGTTACACGAGGATATACGATATTTACATTTTTTTTTATTCTACTACCATAATATGGTACCATACTATATCCTACCACGTTTTAACATGTTCGATTGCCAAATTACTATGGAGTTTGACAGTTAAGCGCGATAAAAATCGTATTATAATGTACTAGCAAACCAGTGAACCAAATGTTCACCAAAACCTGAGTTAAAAAAAAATGTATTTAATTAATTGAGAACTTCGGAGATTTTGTGTGGTTTCGTTTGAAATTCGTGATTTCTCCAAAACCGGAAGTGCTACGTTACTCAAATCCGGTTTGTAGTCTTATCAGACTATTCTTAACTTATAACTTAAATATTCTCTTTATCTATCTCTTACGGTTTGGCCGCTGAAACAGCACCACAGACAGACGGACGGACGGACTTGTCTAATAGATAAGAGATATTGTGGTGCTCATGCTACAGTTACAGAGTGTCATAAATAGTAACATAATATTAAGTTTGATATAATTATTCGTATTCGTTATGGACTTATTTTAAAGTCTCGTTTGCATAAAAAATGGTTTATTGAAACAATTTATTAAGGCTTTACGTCAGAAATTTGAAGATATTTTTCCCTGAATTTTCAAAGACTAAAATTATAAGAAATACTAAAAATATAAATTTTCAAAACCATATCATTCTTTTTGTGTATTCATAGACTTGGTTTTATTATCTTAAGTAAATAAAAGCGATTTCAAGAAATAAATAAATGTTTATTTTCTTGTTAAATACAGCTCAAACAAAAGTAAGCAATTTTCTATGAAATTTAAAATTTGATTCTGATGGCTACAAGAGCCAACCTTTTTTAAATAAAAATATTGTTTCTTACATTAATTAGGTCCCCGTCACAAAGAATTCAGACTCAAAATTCGTGTTGACTGATATTATTTCTCTTTGATTGGTACTTGAAGGTAAAAAAATATATAATAAGATATTAGATGGTTTAGATAGAGTTCACTGTTCCATTAGCAAACATCACAGAATCCATTGTCGTCTTCCCGCTTTGTAACTTCTTGTGTTAGGTAGGTATACCTAAAACAGAAATATGATAAATATTTCCTCATTTTATACTCTTCGGTTGAGAGCTTCAAAAATAATTACACCAAAACTTTCGGAATAACAGCTGGAACGGTAACAGTTCGGAATAAAGAGGCGAGAGCTCTTAGCAGATTCGAGCGGTTGCCATCTCCCATTGAAGGAGGTACTTTTGCGTAGTAATTTGAAAATTTCCATAAAATAATTTAGATTGGGAATGCTTATGAAATTTTCGCCTCCGACTCGGTCTCTTAGTCACTCTAATTTCAATATCAATAAGACTTCAATTTAATGTAAGGTTTATTCTGAAATTGATGTTCTTGCCTTGGGTATTCTTTAAACGGTTCAATTTACACAACAACTGCGTTATTTGCTTTAAAGGTTCCCGTACCCAAAAGTTATTAGGTAGATTTTTTCACTAAACTTCCGATTGGGGTCGTCCGTGCGTCGGTCTGTGAGTTGTAATGGTATTATCTCTCAAACCGCTAAAACAGTCACATACGATTTTCACACTATATGTATTTCTGCTATATCGATTAATAATAACAAATATAGTACAGAAAATCAAAATTTATCAAAAATGAATCAATATTAAATGGAAAACAAAATGGAAGTATGGAAACTTTCGTGTCTTTCAAAGTATAATATTATCGGATCTTAACAAATTTTACCAAGATAGCGTAAACCTAAATCATTTAATATGATTTTCGCTCATGTGATTCATTATTCCGGAGCACAAAATCATGTATGCCGTAGTTTAAAAACCACTTAAGATCTTATTACGTCGAGGCAGTTTGCTAAGTTGATTCATTGCCTGAGCAAAACATGGCGTTAAATTATAACGCACACATATTAACGTATAATTTTCAAATTACTATGCGTCTAATTTATTCCGTTTTATAGCTGTGATGTAATAACATTCGCTATATGGAGATTAATTAAGGTTCATATTTAAATTATCGTCAAAGAAATCAGGTACTTTATTCTCAAAAAAATACGTACGTAAGTAGGTATGATAACGGGGTAGAGTAAACAAAATTATATTTATTCCGTCAGTTAGATTATCAAAAAATAATGGATACTTATTTTTTCTTATGTCAATCAACCAAAAAATAATAAAGATAAAGCGCGTCAAACGCGTTAAAAGCTCTTGTCGTCACTTTTTAGTGAAAATTTTACAAAAACGTGACGTAACGTGACATTTCAAATCTAAATATATATGTAATGTTTTGCTTCTTTGAAAAAATAAAAAATACGTATAGACGGAGAAAAAAGTTAGTCATCACCCCTCTTGTATTTTTAGGTGATTATTAACTATTTTTTGACGGTCATTTAAAATTTGCCATTAATGAAACTCACTGCTGGAGACCGCTTTAGGCTTATCGGCACAACTTGACCTTTCCTCGTCGATGCGATACTGATTTTTTCTTCTTGAATAAACACCATCCAAAGCTATTATTTTGGAGAAAATTTATATACCTACAACTCGCCAAAATTCATCATTTTAAGGATAGATTTAATCGTATTCGACTTTCCTTAAAAAATATTTATTTGCCTATTATACATTTTCATATTAAAGAAAAAAATAGATATAGATTTCGTTACACGAAAAGTCACAATTTTATTGCTAGTAAGCTCAAGAATAGAAAGTTTTAATATAATATGCGCTCGACGAGTATGTTACTATATATAAAAATATCCAGAACAGTCCAGAGAAGTTAGAACCACTGAAGCTGTATAAAAAAAATAATTGTACGCAGGAAAAACCACGGACATCAGCTAAATGAAAATCATTTGGATACCCCGAATAAACTCCGGAAAATACAGCAGACATTTCTACAAAGCGTCGGTCAGACTCTTTTATATCGATACTAAATTCAAACCTTAAGAAGTCATAGACCTAAAACCAAGCCCCGATTTCATAACTTGTAATAAAAACAAATCTATACCGCGGCCCGCGAGCTTGAAGCTCATGTCCTAATTCCATGCAGCACTGAAACTGTGGAACGACATCTCATCAGCAATAAATTTCTACACAAACGGAAATATACGTTGGTCCTATCACGTTATGATCTGACACGTACAACACGCTTGGTTTATATTTCTTGGTACCATAAAAAGGATTTTATGCGAATTCAAAGACGACATCAGTGGTGAAATGGCTAGCCCATCGGATCTCATGGCAACGCCATCTGCGAGGTCTAGGAATAAATTCCCAGATCACGTTGAAGAGACACTCATTTGTTTTTATTATCTCCAGTCTGCATACTAGTGGTTCCTACTATATTTTTGTTTTCTGGGGGATTATGCTGGATTAAAAAATATATAATTTTAATATTCGTAATAGCTATGTTATAAAAATTACGCGTCAAATGAAAGTCCAAGCCAAACCAAAGCGGTCGTACCGTTCCGAATTGAAGCCGATTCATACATATAGCAAAAATCATGTTTTTTTTTTATAAATGGGTCCGACAAATGACCTGATGTTAAGTTAAGTGTATTGATTAAATATAACTGGGCGAGAAATAATATTGGTAATACCATCTCAAAAACTAAACGACTTTTGTTGAAACAACTTTTTATTCGATCATAAATAATTGAAAGATTATACAAAATTTATCACTCACAAAATTTCAACTGGCATTTGTCTGAACTTATTTATTGTCTGGAAACACCAGATCGCAAACACCATCCAGGACGTTGACAGACTTAATTTATTTTAATCGAGAAAACAAGGAGCCTTCTTAAAAAAAACAAATGAAGTAAAAGCTGATGTGCCCTTTCCATATTATTATAAGTCCTAATTTCTTCTTCAGTATACTTGCCTTCACGAGAACCTTTTCCACTATCTCTGCGAGGAGAATGGAGGCGCGGTGACGTTACCAGCGGCACGGGGAGATGACGCCTGGAAGGTCTACTTTAATGAGAACCCTGAGGAGATCGTCGACGAGTTCGCAATGAGATACGGCATCGAAGCAATCTATCAAGCCATGACGTGAGTACAAAATAAGTTATAGAATTAATGACCTAAAACAGAGGGTTTCCATTTTATGATTGATCGGATGACCTCCTCAATTACTATACGAAGCAAATAGAAAGAAATAACCCCCCAAGTTTTGGGCACCATTCCAAGCTTTACATGACTCGTAAGCCGTGACCCATTATTCCGGAGCTCTCAATATCTATCAAATTTAAAAAAAGCTTTGTTAAGTAGAATTGAACTTGGTATATTATCTCAAAATTTAGGGCATAAAATACTTAATACATTTATGCTAAGAAAAATATAGTTACGACTCACTTGTTCGATGTTTTCGAAGGACTCTTTAAAAATATTTCTCTAATAGTGTAATAGATAATAGAAATTTAATTTAAAGTAATAACATAGATGAATATCCTCGTATTTGAAAATGCACAATCTATGATTTGTTGAGTAAGATTTCTCAATGACCGGTTATATGATAGCTGACCAAGAGTTTATTACCTCAAGTTCCTTCGTACTTCGGATGGAAGGCACGCTATGCCGATGGGCCTGGCTGTCCACCAATCCGAACTAGGGCCTCGTGGCGGGATGTTCATTTTGCCTATATTAACTGGAGGAAAGTCCTGTTTTCCGCAGTGGGGACATTAGGTTGATAATGATAAAGAGTTCAATATGAGCAACGAGGATGATTAAAACAATGTCGCAGCAATTGTAACCGAATGTAACAACTTATTTTCAGTAATTTATCATAACATTTGAGTTTATAAATAGCGTATACTGCTATTTCTGATATTGTTATATCACCCCCTGAGAAGACACGACGAACAAAGTAATAAATTGACAGAGAACATTCATTCTTTCACAAACGGACTAGAAATAAGCTTAAAATAGGCACCAATCTGTATGATCCACACTGCGGACAAACAAAGAGCTTTTGAGAAATTATGCTTCACCACAAAGCTGGAGGGCAAATCGATTTTATGTCGAAAGGAGTTTAGCATGAGTTTGCTTACAGATTAATAAGAAAATTGGTTCCAGCTTAATTCCGTCGCTCGAAGTGTTATGACTAAAATATAATAAGATTTTGTTAAAACGTTTTCAGAAAATATATTTTGTACATTTTAATATCATTTATAATAACAAATTGCGGTAGGTAGGTATATACATGGATGGGATTGACTATAAAACTAATAACCGTGTTAGCTTCTACCTTAATATTTATTATTTTGAAGGGATAACTTCCATCTATAGGAAAGGTCAGTACCATAACAGTGGCGATCTTATGATAATAAAACGCGTATAGCATATCTTTATTAATTGAGTTAATGGAAAATGCAGAATCAGACTTCATTGCTGTAAATTTTGTTTAATTTAAATTTGGTCTAGATACTATTCTCAAAAGAAACCTAACTCGAAGTAAAAGATTAAGACGGAGAGTAATAATTTAAATTCGGTTTCATTTAAAGTCGAAAGAAAAATGAATTCTATACTGTTTCTTTTTTATTTTTCAGGCATTTTCACTGTTTATCAACAAAATACTTATGCGCGGGGGTGCCGGCTGTCATGTCTACCCTCTTGGCCAACATCAATGCATACTACGCGCATACCACTGCTTCGTCTGCTGTGTCGGCATCGGACCGGTTTGCTGCTTCTAACTTTGGGGTAATGTCTGTCAATATTGAAATCTCAAATACATTACTTAATCTTTAAGATTTTCAAATCTTTAAAATATGTAATGTCAATTTTTTGTTCAAAAACTTGTTTCGCTTTGTTGAAGAAAATCCTAGGTTCAAAGAATAAAGTAATGTCATTTATGCAGAATTCAATTTCTGTAATTACGTCTTCATTGGTATTTAAGCATTACTTAGCCAAAAATGTTCAAGTAGCTAAGGATTTATGTGCAGAACCCGAAATTATTGGATGGGTTTGAGTGTAATGGAAGGAGAAAAGTAACATCGTAAAAAATGATAGCCCATAAATATTCATGCTATCCAAATCAAGAATAGGCGGCAACGCCAAATGTTGATATATAACAAGATTATGACCTTCTTATTGGATGTAAATACAACTTATTGGTTTCTCATCTTTAATTTACATAATGGGATGTCTGCAAAATAGTAATAAGTAGGTAATCAATTTAAGAGATTCAATTGAGGATATCTATTTCGTCCTGATTCTTCCCAATTACTTCTTTTGTACTTAAATATTTCATTTCATTAGAAAAAAATCGCTTGCATCAAAAGAGCTATTGATATCTAGTTAATGCCTGAAAACCAGTTCTTCACTAGAGCATTAAAAGTTTGCTATACAATCGTTTTTTATGTCTCTTTTTATAATGTTAAATAATTTCCACAGAAAGAGAAATTCGTCAAGCTTTTGGATCAACTGCACAACTCGTTGAGGATCGACCTTTCCATGTACAGAAATAATTTCCCCGCTTCCAGCGCCGAAAAGCTCATGGATCTCAAATCTACTGTCGATTTGCTCACTAGTATCACTTTCTTCAGGATGAAGGTATGCTTAAAGATTTACTTTATTTAGGAGTGTATCTCTGTTGCGTTTTTCTTCTTTACAAAAGTTTCATAAATTTTGACTTAGTATTGAAGTTTCATTATAACTCAGGAGAATATTCATTAACTCCCAAATATTTCGTTTTCAATTTGTTAATTTTAAGTATACTTAAAATAACCAAAAACAAATCAAAACAAAAAGAAAACATTTTTTTTCTTTTTGTTTTTTTTTATAAATGTAATAAATCTCAAGTTTTTATTTCAATAATGCCTGGCACTTATACAGGCCACGTATACAAGGCTAATACGAAATAGGTATGTCATTAAAAAACCTAAGAAACAAATAGTTATGTCATGTTTAAAAAAAATTACAGGTCCAAGAGCTGAGTAGTCCACCCCGAGCCAGTACTGTGGTCAAAGACTGTGTTAAAGCTTGCCTTAGATCGACATATCAATTTCTCTTCGAGAATTGCTACGAGTTGTTCAACAGAGAATTCCAGGTCGGTATTATACATTTAGAGCAAATAAATTTCCTGCGAATTTACACCAGATTATTTAAGAATAAATATTTTAAGATTGTCATGTAACATTAGTAAGTAATAGGGTAGAACTTAGAGACGTCAAATAGATTGCTCAAATTGTCAATTAGGTTGATGAATGCTCGTCAAAATGATACGTGTGTCGACAGAAAAAAATCGATGTTTTCAAAGTACCAAATTGTCAAAGGAATACGAATGCCACGAAGGATCAGAAATTTAGTTTGCACAGGTGGAGGGGATGTGGTTTACACAAGTAAAACTATGTGATTGGTCAACTAAATAACCAATTTTCCACGAAGTAATGATAAAGGATCTTACCATCAGCCCACCAACCACTGATTAGTATTAGAAATTAATGACAGCTTATCAAACGGCATATTATCTATGATTCGGATGCTGTCGTGAAGAAAGTAACTGACAAGTTTGATCCAACTCAAAAATTAATAGATATTTATTTTGTATCCAAACCAAAATAGTGCAATATTTAAAGTCAACAAAACATCCATTGCACTAGTTCCAATATTTAGCCCAATAGGTATTTAGGACTCTTTGAAAAAATGTACCTATATGTCTGTGTTAAATACATATTAAAGCTCAGTTCCAGGAAATCAAGTGACAATCATCAATTCGTAGTTATTAAATTCCATTTCAGTACTTTGATGCAAGTGTGCCTAAATCTTATATACCCAATCATTTTATTTACTAGGTGGATCCTAATGAAGCGAAAAGAGACCCTTCAGACCACGGTCCGCAACTCGATTCTGTCGACTTCTGGCACAAACTTATAGCCCTCATCGTATCTGTGATAGAAGAGGACAGGAACAGTTACGCTCCCGTTCTCAACCAATTTCCTCAGGAATTGAATATTGGACAGGTATGTTGGATTTAACGACTTTAAAGTTTTCACCTCTATTAAGTGCTTTTACTTTTTCACAGTACCTTATTTATGTAAGTTGTGTGTTGTCTCTGTTACGTGTCCAGAAACTGACAACATTAGTATTTGTAGTAGTTGGTAGGTAATAGTAACTAAAACATTGGTCGATCTATGATCGAAGAAACGAACAATCATAGCATACGTTACTCTGATCTCAAAAACAAAACAATGACAAATATTTTAACCCGAGGCCGACACGCCCTTCTTACAAAGACTCGATCTTTAACCGTTGGCTAAAGGTTAAATCTGGTCTTTGTATGATGATAATTATCTTTACATCATCAAGAACCTGAGTTTGCCACAATCCGTTAAAAGAAGCTATGCGATGCCGTTCACTTAAGTTTTGAAATTTATTGAACTTCTTCGTAAATCAATTTATTTATGTAACATAGCCCATAAACATTCTATGTTGTTGAATTTCAGTTGTCTGCTGCAACCATGTGGTCGTTATTTGCTGTGGACATGAAATATGCGCTAGAAGAACATGAACAGCACAGGCTCTGCAAGTCTTCCGCTTACATGAACTTACATTTTAAGGTATTTCATATAAACAATTTGTAATATATGAAATATGTATAACCAAGTAAACAACATTTTATAATGTCAGAAAGAATCCATTGCTCTAGGATTTATATAAAAGAACCTTAATTCAATTGCAAACTTGATTATGAATAATTTGGTCATCTTTGTATACCTAGGCGCTTTTAAATATTTTCAAACTTAAATATTATTATAATAAGTCATTATACAAACTCAAAGTAAGAATTAGCATACAACAAACAAGTATTATTTGAGGTTTATCAAATGTTTTATGGTTTTTGTGTTTATCAAAACTTTATATTGCCAGAATAGTATGAATTGAGGATTTATGCGTCACTCATACTTTGTTTATCATTTGGACAGGTTAAATGGTTACATACAAATTATGTTAAAGACGTCCCTCCATATTGTGGTGCGGTGCCGGAATATCCCGCTTGGTTCGAGCCCTTCGTTATGCAGTGGCTGAACGAAAACGACGATGTCTCATTGGAATATTTGAACGGAGCCTTCAACAGGGATAAACGAGATGGGGTAAGTTGTTTCACCTATTGCATTTTCTATTTTGACTTAAATCTAATCTGAAACTGGAATATTATCTCTGTTAACATTGTTCTATATGTTGCTGATAAGCTAATTTTGATTACATACTGCTGAAGATTTTATTTATGGATGAAGACGTTTTCCTTTATGTTTTTTTGAAACTTTTCCAATGGAGCTAATAAGTATTATTATATTAGTCCCATGATCAGCAGTCGGCGTCGTACGACTGATATCATAAATTAACATAAATACTTTACAATTTCTCCATAGGTAATTTATTTCAACCCTTATATTTTTCTCTATTTCCAGTTCCAAAAATCTAGTGAGCACGCTTTATTCAGTAACTCTGTAGTAGATGTGTTCACTCAATTGACGCAATGCTTTGACGTGGTCTCCAAACTCGAGTGTCCCGATCCGGAGATTTGGAAGAGGTATTTTGAATTCATCAGTTAGAATTCGGTAATAATAATTTGATTAATCAAAATTACATACGATGACTTATGATTGTTTAGGTACATGAAGAGATTTGCGAAGACGATAGTCAAGGTGCTGGTGGCTTACGCTGATATTGTGAAAAAAGAATTCCCTGAACATCTAAAAGAGGAGAGAGTGGTATGTACTGTTATGCTTTTCTCTATATTTATCACAAAGTTAAAGTGGTTTATCAAACAATAAGAAAATTCAGACATGACATTACTTTTCTTAATCGGCATCAAATCTAATTTAAAAATACTTTTGATTCCTGAGTTGGTATGCTTTCCAGCCATGTTCTCTTCTATAGAAAAATATTGTTAGAAACATGGCTGGATTTTGACTTATAAGTCGTATTGTCATGATATATCAAAGCTTGTTGTTACTCGCCATCCGATTTGTATACAGTTATTTCTAATTATCACTAGGCAAGCATTTTCACGCTAGATTCCTAGATTAAAGTATAATTTACCCTTCTTATGGACAAAATCATTACGGTCTTCAAAATATCTTCTTAGGATTGTTTGCTTCTTTCTATCTGGACGATCTTTTTTCAGGCATGCATCTTAATGAATAACATTCAACAACTGCGAGTGCAATTAGAGAAAATGTTCGAAGCTATGGGTGGCACGAAGTTAGAACGAGACGCCGCTGACATTCTGCACGACTTACAACAAAGCCTTAACAGCACCCTTGATGAATTGGCTTCCATGTTTGCTATAAGGTAATTTAGCTGAAATATTTCCTTTAAGATAATTTTACGTTTCATGAAGCAGCTAATTATTTTTCAATGTCATCTAAGGGATGAATTGTCAAGATTTTGTATAAAGGCCTCACTGTGCACGAATTCAAAGCTTTGCAAATATATTATGTAAGGGTGGGTCTAAATGTAAATTCCTTATTTGATTAAATTTCTGAAATGATTTTTAATTCTGCTTGTTTCTTATTTTCTGGTTTCATTACTAATTCGTGAGTATTCTGCTCCTACCTTTGTACAAGAACAATTTGGTGAAAAGGTATTCTTTTTTGCTGCCTCGGATCCAAATAAACACATTTTAAAATAGGATTAATATTGATTCATCCAATAAGGGTTTTGACCCCTCTTATCTACTTCAATTTATTGAAATGAAAAATGGAATAAAAAGTCATTTATTCAGTCTAGGCTGTTACAAGTACTTGTGAAGGTCAAGAAGCTACGCCATTGGTTCGCAAAACTACGGCGGGAGACCTTGTACTGAAAAGAACCGGCAAAAAACTCAGCAAGAGCTGTTTACTATTGTTTTGTTTATATACAGAGTCGTCAAGTTGAAAAATGACTTCAGAGATATGTCTGAAGTCACCTTACATTACATCATTTGAATATAAATATATAGTTACAATAAATTTTATATTTAACTTTGTATTTAGTATATAGGAAGCGGCATTGGATAGGTACTATATTACTGTTATGAAAAATGACTAATACCCATCAAATAACAAATTACAAGAAGCACTATGTCCATGCATTACGATCATTTAGATACTCATCAACTTTATAATAGCCCTTCTTCATAAAAGCATTCTTGATCTGAGATTTAAATTTGGTCAGTGGAAGCTCAATCAGATCTTGGGGAACTTTATTAAACAATGCAATACTACAACCCAGAAATGAACCTCTTGATTTTTGGAGTCCGAAACATGGAACAGCAAGCTTGTTCTTAAATCTCGTGTTAAAGTTATGGGTTTGACTTTTTTTTGCAAATACGTCATAGTTTTTTCTTACATATATTATTTTTTCGATGCTAGTGTTAAAATATTAATATCTTTAAATTTTTCTCCTTTGCCTTTAAGTTGTATATGGCGCGAATAGCTCTCTTTTGCAGTATGAAAGTACTTTTGGTATGAGCAGCTGAGCCCCACAACAATAAGCCATATGACATAACACTGAAAGTAACCATTATAATTTAACTCTTGCACCTACAGTTTGGAGACTCGTATAACGGCCAGTGTGAAGGAACTGGGTGAACTACTTCAGAAAGTAGGCGGTGGTGGAGCACCTGGTCAGCCGCAGCCTCCTGCTCACCATGAAGCCGACGAGGTCCTACGACCGCTAATGGATATCCTGGTACGTGGGAAATCTTAGAAACACATAAACTTGATATAATAGAACTGAATAGTAGCAGCACTATACTTTTGAGATAGATCTGAGCTTAGTGATTAGCGTTCAGGCAAACTGATGGTTGAGACACAATTCTTAGTTTTGAACTCCAATATCAATCAAAAATATCAATTATCCAATTCCGAAGATTTATAATTTAATAGAAGAAACAAAATTGAAAGAAATCAACTGTTTGAGAATAGTATAAAATAAAAACAAATAAAACAGTTTGTTACATATTTAATAAAAAACACTAGTACGTATTGTATTAAGAAGAGTGTTTAGCTATAATTGAGATAATAGTGTTATTGCATTATTGAATACTAGCAAACCAGTGAACCAAATGTTCACCAAAACCTGATTTCTCGAAAACCGGAAGTGCTACGTTACTCAAATCCGGTTTGTAGTCTTATCAGACTATTCTTAACTTATAACTTAAATATTCTCTTTATCTATCTCTTACGGTTTGGCCGCTGAAACAGCACCACAGACAGACGGACGGACTTGTCTAATAGATAAGAGATACATATTTGATAGCATTACAAATATAGATAGTTCGATTAAATTTTTATAATATACAGTAGTTAGTTAGGTAAAAAGAAATCTATTTGTTATATTTCAGGATGGTTCGCTGACAATGTATGCCGAATCGTGTGAAAAGACTGTACTGAAACGACTGCTTAAGGAATTGTGGAAGATTGTGATGAAGATTCTTGAAAAGACTGTTGTGCTTCCGCCTATGACTGATAAAACGGCAAGTTTATCGAGGAATGCAGTAATATTGACGACCATTAAATTTGGGATACCATTATTATTACCTTTTTGCCCTAAACTGCCTATTTTAATTCCAATACAGCTAATTATTAGTTTTGATTAAGGTGGTATAATAATATTTATTTCAAAATTATGTACCTACTTATTCTCATTTAACATGGTTCAACTAAAATTACTAAAAATTATCTACTGATAAGTATCTAATACCTAAAACGTGTATTCAGATGATGTTGAAGAACCTTACGAACAATGCAAAGAACTTAGCAGCGAATGCGAAGATTGAGGATATGACGCAACTGTTCAAGAGCACTGTCGGAAAGCAAGACGTCAAACATGCACTATCAGGCGTCATGGATATCTCGAAAGAAGTAAGTTTGATTCGCTAGATTATTGCTTATATCACACACCACCACTCATTTGATAAAACATTTTTCTACCAGCTGTTTATATGCTTTTACTAGATCGTTTTTCATTAATATCAGACAGATACTGATTAATTTCCTCCACTACAAAAATTACTTAATTTTTTACGCCTTACACGGCTTTAGTAATCTCACGAATTAATTCAAAGAGCGTACTCCTTCCTTAAAGGCCGGCATCGCATTTCTGATACTTCTGGTGTTGCAAGTGTCCATGGGCGATGGTGATCACTTACCATCAGGTGAGCCGTCTGCTCGTATGCCCCCTATAACATAAACAAAAAAAAAATCTTAAGAAATTTCATATTGTTCCTTAATTGTTTGAAGGATTTTAAGAAGAAATTTGTCGGTTTTGGATACCATGTTTACTTGAATATTAAATTTAATCCTTTACGCCACGGCTTATCTTGAAAAATTATGTGCTAAGGTAGCGGTAGAACACACGGTATGCACCGCACTCACCACGCGTTATACAATACATACATTCTTTTGAGAAATGCCGCACGCTTGACAATTTCAATTTTATTTTTTATTCTATATTTTAATTCGCGTTAAAGTCGCGTTGACATGCTCAAAGTCTGCTTTGTCAAAGTAGCTTTGATAAAAGTGCACCATCGAACACATCTGGCCGCCACCGCAGGCCGCAGCTGGATTGGCTACTACTTGTATTCCGCCGGACAATTGGCAACCAACCTGGGCGCGGCCGCAGGCGTTGTCTGACTGTGAAATACTTTATTCCTAGCGGCACGCGTCGTCCCACTTACTTATAAAAATAAAAAGAGCTCCAGATGCTTTATTGAATGTATGCAAAGCGGAGCTCTTTTTGCGTTGGTCATTGAAAGTGCCGCGGCCAAAATTAACGCGCGTAGCGAGCGGCGCTAGCTATTGGCGCTCCCTAGGACCGTGCGCCCGTGTGCAACGCACACTCTACACCATAGGTAAAGACACCTCTGAAAGTATGATTCAAAATCGGCCAATTAAATATGTAATCATAAAATTAGATCATCTATACCATAATATAAGCAACTTTAGACCACCAATTTGTAATAAAAAACATTATCATTATCTTTCCAGCATTTATCAGCAGAGAAGAGCTTGTCGCCAAAGCAATGTGCGGTTCTCGACGCAGCGTTGGACACCATTAAACTTTACTTCCACGCCGGAGGTAACGGACTGAAGAAGACTTTCCTTGAGAAGAGCCCAGAGCTGCAGTCGTTGAGATACGCACTCAGTCTGTATACGCAGACCACGGATACATTGATCAGGACGTTTGTTACGAGTCAACAAAATCAAGGTAAAAACACCAAGGGAGAACATTAAAAGATAACCCATGGCACAACTTACACAGGCTTAGTGATTAGTTTATGATAACGTTTGCATAATAATATATAACTAGGTCTAGTCGCTTCATGTCTTTTAAAAACAGGCCATCTTGAAAGCCTCTTAATTTCGCAGACCGAATAAAGTAATCACTACCGTGACCGAAGGTGCTCCGTTAGCCTAAGAAACTATAATAGCTAATTTTTTCTTCAACTTCTACTTTAATTGGAAATCGGATAGCATCATAAATATCTTTACCTTACAGGGCGGTATGGATTGTATGCTGTACTAGACACAGTTTACAAAGCCCTTAAAATAATTGTTTATTATTTGGCTTTATGTATTTGGGAATTTAATACAAAATATAACTGTTTGTATACAGATGCAGCTGTTGCAGAAGAAGGAAGCGTGGGTGAAGTATCGTTACAAGTAGATTTGTTCACTCATCCAGGCACTGGTGAACATAAAATCACTGTCAAAGGTAAGGCATAGTTTTTGCTTTCTAGTTTTATCAACGCAAACTGAACTAGGGAAGTCTTCAGAACTTCATGGGGTAGTACCGGTTGCTTAAACTTTATTTTTAAGACTACGTTTTTTTGCTTCTATTTGTCGACTCATTGTTCTAGATTGCCTGTAGTATAAATTTTAACCCGTAAGCATCGATGACACGGGGCGAGTTACAAGCTACAAGCCAGCGAGTTCGCTAGCAGCTTGTAAACTCGCCCCGTGTCATCAACGAGGCTTACAAAAGGTTGCCAAACTTTAAATATTATGTTTTTCATCCGTCACCTTGAACACAATGTTGTACAAATCTTTTAATATATAAATTTAAAATTTTCAGTGGTAGCCGCCAACGATCTGAAATGGGTGATAGCCAGTGGCATGTTCCGTCCATTCATCGAAGTGAACCTCATCGGGCCGCACTTGGCCGACAAGAAGAGGAAGTTCGCAACGAAATCCAAGAGCAACAACTGGAGTCCCAAGTTTAACGAGACATTCCACTTGTAAGTAAATAGCTTCAAATTCTTTCTGTGATGATGGAAGCGGAGGAAAAATAAAGATTACGAGCTGGTAGTATCGTAAAAAAAAGGAAAATGTCTATCAACAGTGAAGGGGGCATTATTTTTGTGGGCAACATTTTGCCAAATGCTGTGTGTCCTTGAGTTGTTTACCTCATATTTTGTTGTTACTTTGCCAACCTCGCAAAGAATAAGTCGCTTAAAAGTATTTAAAATAGATATGAATATTGTTGATCAACAGATTTGGTGCATCAAGTAATTAATCCTTGTTGTTTTATGCGAAATCTAAATACTGGTAGACCAAAGTCTAAGAACCAATTTCGTGTAGGTATATATGGCAGCCTCATAACAACATTTGGCTGCCATATTTCCTATTTTATTCGGAGTCGGTGTGATTGTTGTATCATCATAACATTAAATACTTTCTTACTTATTGTTTTTGTCTTATCACTTAGTAGTTTTTTTTTTTCACTTAGTGATTTACGATTTTCATACAACAAACACATCAAAGCATTCCATTTATCTTGATAAGTAGATAACTCCAGAACCGTGAGATTTTGTAAATATTTTTTTACCACAGACGACAAAACTGTGGATTTTATTGTCGCCTCGTGATACTCAGGGTGTTGCAGATGTCTTCGGGCGACGGCGATCACTTACCACTAAGTGAGCCGTCTGCTAGGATGCACCCTATAATATAAAAAAGACATGCTACGACAGTATGGTAATATTTTTAATACGTGATTTCAGCATGGTGAGTGCGACGGAACAATTAGAATTGTTCGAGCTGCATGTGTGCGTGCGGGACTACTGTTTCGCGAGGGAAGATAGACTCGTGGGCGTAGCCGTTATGCGATTGGCTGACATCGCGGAACAGGTAAATATGACGACTCTGTGGTTATTTCGGCAATTACTACTACTTGACGGTTTTCTAATATGAAGGCCTTAGAGCTAGCGTTCTGAAACTAGACCGAATTAAAGAACATGTCGTGATAAATATACTCATGATGACGCAGTGGTCGTTACGAGGATGGTGGCGATTCATTTATGAAGGGCTTAAGGGTGAAGTCTGGAGAGACCGGATAAAGAACTTCCTTTTATTTGTGACGGTCTCCTGAAGTTTGTATGGATGGTGAGATATTGAACTAGAGTCTAATCGAGTCAAATACAATTAAAGTCAAATAAAATATTATACTCACACTTAGTGTTATAAGTGTGGGTTGAAGTAGTTAATCACATTTTCTCTTAATCCTACAGTAGATCGCATAGCATTTTAAATATTGTTCAAATCTGTAAAGTTTCAAAAATGAGTCTGAAAATTAGTTGTACCTATATAAATAAGCATTTTAATTCACAGGGTTCGTGCGCGTGTTGGTTACCACTCGGCACCCGAGTGAAAATGGACGAGACCGGGTGGACGATACTTCGGATACTGTCGCAGAGGCACAGCGATGAAGTAGCCCGAGAATTCGTCAAGCTCAAGTCTGAAATGAGGGCGGAAGCGCCCACCGGCGGCCAGGGGCCTTCGTGAACGTAAGAAGCGACCCTTAGTGCCACGACGAACTACTGAAGCCAACCCGCGAGGAATGCGGGCGAAGAGACCAAACGGTTGTGATGCTCGAGCATAGAGGTCTACCTACTTCTCGCTTTCAAGAGTGAAGAGTGAGTGAGACGGGTGACGTGCTCTCTTCGCGACGGAACGAGAGCTCGCGTCGGATCTGAGACACGACTCCGGCGCTCGCGGTACCCGGTCAGTGCTCGTTCGTTTAGTTTAGTTCGTACGACAATCTTGTCTCTCGTCGTCGAGAGATTGTTATAATATTATGCGGTTTTTTGTAAATAAAATTGTACTGTGTTAAGTTACGCGGATAGTAGAATATTTTGCACAAATTGCGTAAATTTTATTATTATCAGAAAAGACTGACCGTAGGCGGCGGCGGGCGCCGCGCGTCCACCATTTTTACGTATTCAGCGCATATATTGGTTTTGAATAAAGATGTTTTGTAAGATGTCTATTGAAAACGCATGAGAGACCAATTGAATTCCATTGTTCGGGAATATTGATGAATTTAATGCGGTTGACGAAACCTGCTACACATACGTGCAATAAATTAGTATACATAATTGTATTTATTTGTATAATCGAACCATTCGTATACGATTTCATTCTCTTGTCATGAACGTGAACTTTAATTGTTAAAATTAATTACGATCGGTCTAAAAGCTTATCTAAATTGATGACCGCTATAATTGAAATACGCTGAATACTTAAAGATCGGAAACATGATTAATGTAATAATATTTATATGGACCAAACTGTCGTAAATACGGATGCATTAATCCTTAATCCTTTATAATAATGCAACATTATTTATCTAATTAATCATCTACTCGTTCGCGTGTACAGTAAATAATATAATGGCCTTATGTAAATTATTTCCTATGTTCGTTTATATTATTTTATTTTTGCTTCTTGTCGAATTAGTCAGAATGTGTACCTAAAGTTGTTAAGGGCATATTGGGTGTTATAACTGCGGATGGACGTGTCTCCCTCTCGTTTTGTTAACTGCGTGGTGTATAGTATAATGTTCGAAGTACATAAAGTATGATCGTTAGGAGATGAGTGTTCTAAAATGGAATTCATAAATAGTGTTATAGCTATGATTTCTAAACAAATGTACGGTCTTGTCACCTTTTGTATCTTAAATATATATATATTATATACTTATTATCTCGTTTGTGCCCCGTTTTGAGTGATCTACACTGTATTTCATACGCCGCGTCACCGACACGGCAAAGCGTTTTTTGACGTCACGTAAAATGATCCATGGTAAAGGTGCTAAATATGAAACATTATAAAAATCGCTTGCGGCGCATTCACAACCAGGATTCATTTTACGCGGCGTCCAATAAATAATGGAACTGCAGTATTTTACCGACTTGTAAATACCAACTAAATCGTTGTTAAAATATGTATACTCACAATCTTTACCCTTACTTTGAATATGCTTGGCCTGTTTAAAATGTAATCAAAATAAAAAAGAATATCTCCTATGTCTTATTGTATATTATTGAAAATTGTGATATTGTTATAAATTGAAGTACATCATTAATTGTCGCGGGTATTTGTGTAAATCAATTTTAGATGGTGGTGGAATCCATTAAACAGAACCGTTACATTATCAAATTAAATAAGAGTTTATTTTAATTATTTTTAAGTGAACTAACAGTAAACTGAAAATTGCAAAAAAAAGTTTTAATGTTTTACCTTGTACATTTGCTTTTGATTGTATACATGAATTCGTATGGCATTTAGACTTTATTGATTTACTACTGAGACTGTACTTTATCGATCAGTGCTCAAAATTATTCTTTAAGGCTACGACGATAAATTATGGAACAATAAAGGACGTTGATATCAATATTATTATTGTTATAAAATAAAAAATGTTCATTTTATAATATCACATTCAAAATCGGAACACAGTTTGAAACATCACATAAATAAATTTAGTGCATATATTTTCATTGCCACTTAGACTCGACGTGTATACGAATTTTAACAATAAAAATATAACTATATAATAATACATGACTCCGGAACAATAACTCGCTACAATACAAATAAATGTTAATTTCTGCGCTATCATGAATCGATATAATTCCAGTTATTGTTGTAACTAACAGTACAAAACCCTTGAAAGTTATCCAATAATGCTTTAGATTTTAACAGTGTTCGATTCAAATCTTTTGAGTTTCTATCGATTAATAAGTTTCCTGCCCCCCTAGCACGAGCACCGCGATATGATATATAACTCGTTTTTATTACGCTCAGTTGTTAAATTACTATTAACTTTGACAGTTAGATGCGATAAAAAACGTGATATGATGTAAATTGTCATGTTCATGCTACTGGGACTCGATATTGCAAGCATTTATATTCTATAGTGGGCTATATTTTATTTTATGTTTGCCACTCATTTTAAAACAAGTCAGAGGATAGTCTGATGATCATTAAAGTATTTTTATTAAAAAATTAAGACTTCATAAACAGTTAGGTGCAAAATAAAGTTACTTCTATACATTTTATTAGTTAAAGTCGACGTGGTCGTGGAAATATATACATTGTGTAGCGACGCACATCACTAAGTGACACGGGAGTTAGATTTTCTATATATTAGCATTTATCATGGATTACATATCTGTAGATAGATAATGTGGTTTGTCTAGTCCAAATCTCAATAATAATATAAATATATATATTTACTCATCTTTACTAATGAAAAATTTCGTTAAAACTTTTCTGAGTCGACTGAATCTACTATATGTATAACTAAAGTTTGAATAGCAAAATTGAACGCAAACATGAAACGTAGTCTTCTGTTATAATATGCGATTTTGTAGTTTTTTATTCGATGTATTGACGTAAAACCTAATAATGCTGCTTTAATTCCCTAAAAATTGAATTAGATAATATCACATTCTTTGTCCATTGAAATATTTAAACAGACAAAATAATACTAAATGAATAAACATTAATTCGTTGAATGGAGTGTTTTTTTTGAATGCAGCAAATATACTTTATTTTCGCAAACGGTGTCAATGAAATTTTCGATCATCCATTTGTAAATACTTACAAATCGTACTTCCATCGTATTGTGAAAGAGGTTTACAGTTTTGATGGGATCGTGTGATATCTGCATAAACTAACAATAAAGTCAGTATTAATTTTGGTGTACATTTGTTTTTGAACGTATGTGTACAATTAAGTCGAAGTTATAATATGAATTTACCGTTTATGAGGATATTGCGATTCGAGTCAGTTTAAAAAGAAGCGCACAGTCATCTCATCAAATAAAAAAAAACATAACCTTTACCATTTGACAATACTTGGTAAATATAATTTTGTAAGTTTAAAATGTGATTGTCATTCGTACCTACATCAAAGTCGTTGTGCGTCTGTTACGCTCCAATTTTAGTATTAAAAATCACTAAACTTTGCATATATCTTTGTATAAATGCATATATGTAAATGTTAAATGTTTAACACATTATTGAATTTAGAATTTTTATGAAAAAATAAATAAATATCCGTATTTCAAATATATTTGTTTCGTTTCATTATATTTTGTTTTATATGACGTGAATGAATACATTCCTGGATAAATTCCAAAGAAGGGGAAATTTTCCAATAAAAAATTATGAGAGAAAGTAATATATAAAAGATGCCGTGCTATTCTGTAAGAACAAACTGACTTTTAACCACGGAATTCGGCGGTGTGATTTGAAATTCGTGTTCTAATTTTTAATTACACAGTGGATTCGGAGGTGAAAAGTGAGTTTCTTCTTACAAAATAGCACGACTGTTCAAAGGTTTTTAATGCTCGTAGGATTTTAGAACAGCGACAATAGCACCTTTCCCTACAAAAATATTTCCCATGCTAGATAAGAGTAGAATTATAAAGTGTATCCATGGTTTAGATTTTAAAATAAGGTAAGCATTTAGAGTTGATTCCTACAAACCACCGATATTGCTTGTCCTTGGTTTGGATTTAAAAAAAAGGTAAGGATAAAGAGCTGATTCCTTCAAAACAGCAAAATTGTCAGTTATATACAGGGCGGTCGAACTAGTGACGTCATTATTTTTTTTAGATTCCTCGCACCTGGAGGTATCCGAAAATACCCCATGTATGTTCCGCGATTTTTCTTAGTTTTCGAGTTATAATTTTTTTTATGTATTTTTAATGATTTCTGCCAGCGAGGTTTCAAAAATTCTTAACTTTCTTCGTAGTAGGTATTTTGCAGTCTTTTTTTTGTGATATAATTGTCTTGAATGTTGTTTTAATAAAAAAATAACTCAACTTCCTGCAATTACCTAAAGTTACTTAAAAAAGGCTTGAAAGTTAGATCTTTTGTTTTTGGTAGGATTTACTCAAACGTTCAACTTCAATACAAAAATACAAAAAGGAGTTTCCATAGCTTCTGGCTAGAATTAAAAACTCCGCATGCTTATAACACCCAAAAATCATAAAAAAATGTACTGATTCAGCCTATTTTTGTTGTAATTGGCTTTTGAAGGCGGAAAGGCTAAAAATCATTGACACACGATTAAAGCATTAGACATTATTTTATCTACTTTTTTCATTGTTATGGTAAATTAAACCTAAAATTGTAATTTCAAATTAAATTTTATTGAAATTCCTGTAAAATAACTTTAGCTTGTGTAATTTTACAATAATTTCGGTTTCACCACTAAGATTTTAAATCTTAATTATATTATATTTCACCACTAAGATAGTAAATTTAACTTAAAAATGTAATTTCAAATTAAATTTAATTGAAATTTCTGTAAAATAACTTTAGCATGTGTAATCTTACAATAATTTCGGTTTCACCACTAAGATTTTAAATCTTAATTATATTATATTTCACCACTAAGATAGTAAATTTAACTTAAAAATTTAATTTCAAATTAAATTTAATTGAAATTTCTGTAAAATAACTTAAGCATGTTGAATTTTATAATAATTT